ATATTATATTATATTATATTATATTATATTCTTCTTCCCTAGGCCTAGGTCACATTCTCAGTATGATTGATAGCGATGAAGATGATGAGGATTATGTGCCCAAGAAGCGAAAGAAGAAAGCATCTGGCAAGGGGAACAAAGGATCTCAGAGCGTGAGTTTTAGTGGCTTTAGTGTTTGTGACAGTTTTATTCTATACCATCGAGTTTAAACTGAATAATGTATACCAAGAATTTAATAATGAACATTGTTCTGTTCTTGCAGAAACATGAGTTTTCGTTTCAACTCTCAGTATTTTATTCATGAGGTTTTTTATTTTGGGCTTTAGGGTGTGCGACATGGATATGAACATCTGTGTTTGTAACTTTGGAAAGATGTTACTGGGCTCGACTGTTTTCATCAACACTTTTTTTAGTTTGAAATAGTGATATTAATGACGGCAATAGTAGTAGATTACATTCATATAATGCATCTTTCTTCTAGAAAGTTCAGTCCGTCTACCTTCCTGCATGTGGTTGAAAGGTGCATCTGATGTGGTATATTATGTTCGTTATTGTCAGCTTTACTTTTGTCTTTACATTAAATTTTATCGAGAGCATCATATGATCTAATTTCTATTTATACTTACATGTATTTTTACTGCTCTTGTATAGCCGAGACAAATTCCCCTCAGGGACAATAAAGTATTATCTTATTTTGTCTTATTTTATCTTTTCCTACAGATTATTATTATTTTATGCAGTTGCGAGCACCGTAAAAAGTTACTAAAACTTAAACAGATTATTAATCAGAGAGTCCATTTGACATTCCTGTTCCCAAACATCCTCAGCTTCTTGAAAAGCTTTCTGTGTAACTTACTGATTTTTTTTCTGGCTTGTCAGGCAAACAAAACAACAACCAAGCCGACGACGTTTGGAGCGGCCCAGGCTTCTGGTGCTCCTGTCGATCCTGATGCATTGTGGGAAGCTGCGCCGCAGGGCAGGATCAAAGTCATAGTGTGCTGTGTGTGTTTGTCGGACAGAAGGTGAGAGCTATGTCAATTTTTCACGTTCTGGTGAAGTTCATTTTAATTTTACGCACTTATTTTGCCTGTTGTTTGTATTTGTTTTTTTCTAGTTTTTAAAAACTACAGTGGGGTCTTCTTAAAAATGAAATCTGTGGGATAGCCAGATTTTTTTGCACTTTAGATCGGTTTTTGGTTTAGAAAGGTTTCTCAAATAGAAGCCAAAAAGTTTTTGATTTTTTGGGTCTAATTTACTTTTGTTTTCAGATTAATTGTGTTTGATTTTAGCAGACCAACTATTTGAGGGATGACTCTTTTCTGCTGTTTAGCTTATGTTATTTGATTTTCCTGTTTTCTGTGGAAAAAGAATTGGCAGTGAATATTTAAAATTCAGTTGCACTTTTTACGTTGCTTATTTTTCCATGAAACTTAATCTTGGAAGTGTATTGCTTCTGGATGTCTCACTTGAGTGGTACACTGTTCAGTCATAGATTCTACTAGCTGGGCCCCCTTTGGATGAAAGGAATGATCGGTGCATTAACATCAACTGAAAGTCATTGGCCTACTATATTTGCACTCTTCTGGAATGGAGCAATAAATCTTGAGAGATGCAAAATATTAGAAGGTCTAGATCTAGATCTATACTCTCAAAACAAAATGCGCCTCGCGAAATATCACTTCCGCACTGGATTTTCTAAAATTACAGAGACCGAAGCGTCGGCCTACAAAAGCGATCAGCTGAATAAAGAAATTTTGCTTTTTTCAGCAAAACTGTCTCAAAACTGAAAAAACGAAGGGCGTCATGATCTGGAGAATATTTTAAAGAATTTTTTGGCGAAAACCGCATGTCGATCGATGCAGCCATTAAAAAGCCTTTTGAATCGCAAAATTTAGCCACCACAAATAGATAATAGATGATACTTTTATGAACTGATTATTGTTTTACGCTTGCTTGTTCCATGCTACTTTTATGACCCAAATAAAATCTTTTCTAAAATTCAAGGAAAAAGAGATGTTAAATTTTGGAATACATAGAAAAGTGGAATTGTGGATTATAACTCTCAAAGTATGTCAGTTCTCTTCTGTTGTCATCTAGCCCTTTGCTGCTTTTCTCCTTATGGTGACCTTGTCTCTGTTGGCCTTGAGGATGTTTTTCCATGACGATCTGTCCAGATTTTTATAAATCATTTCTCACAGTAATGTTGACTGTGTGGGTGGATGACGGGTGCTCTGGTGTGGTTTGCTGCTTCTTCTTTCCTATCAAACATCTATCGTCCTTATCTCCCTTTCATCTTTTTTGTTTGTTACTCTCTTGTAACGGCTCTAATCTCCTGGCGCTCATATGACCTTATGCAGTTGCGAGCGCCGTAAAACATCTACTAAAACTAAAAAATGTTGACTGTCTTGGCGTATATCATTTTGTGCAGAAGTGAAATGACTTTTTTCCCCCCACCCCCTTCCACCCTTTTCCCTTTCCTCACACACACACACACACACACACACACACACACACACACCCACACACACACTTGCATGCACATTTTAGAGACATTTTTCTTCCATTCCCCTACTCCTCTCCTCTTTCACGCTACTCACACACATATTTGTACAAACTCATGCACATTTCCGGGGTCTATGTTGCAGTGGTTACGTGCTTCGCTGTCGCACACAAGTGACCTGAGTTTGATTCTCTCATGGGTAGATATTTTATCCAGAATCTTTGGTCTTTCTGCTGGGATGTTGTGTCTGTCTCAGCCTCTGGGTTGGCTGTGATAGCTAGGGTTGGATGC